TTTTTTTTGTATTTGTTTGCTTCTCAACTACAATGCATACAATATTCTATGTATCTTGTTTCAAACTTATAAAGAAAATTATTGTTTTTCTGCATTGGTACCCAAAGCGATGTAGTAATATAAGAATGTTAAAAAATGTCAAGACAAACAAAAAACTTGTGTGAAAATTAAGAATGTGAGACTGAAATATGATGTGATATGTTCAATGTACTGTTGAAAAAAATAAATAAAAAAAATTGCACAGTCTGAGTAGTAATATCTATTGTACTGAGACTGACTGAGAAGTAGCATTGTACTATGGAGGCAAGGAAGTCTAGTGGTAGGACGCCTGGCTCGAAAATGAAGGGTTGCAGTTTGAGTCACGGCATAGCACTGTGTTGTATCTTTGAGCAAGATACTTTTGCGCTTGTTCCAGTCTACTCGGCTGTAAATGAGTACGTGGTTGGGTAGTGCTAGAATTGTAGAATGCTGGCTGTGAGCGCCGAAATGACAGCACCAGCTGTATGCTCCCCAGGGAGTTGAGAAAGATATTGGCTGGTTGCAAAGGCCCTATAACCACAGATAATTACTTGTGAATCGCTTTGAGACGACCTACAAACTAGGTTGTAATAAAGCGGTATATGAGAACCTCGAATTATTAATATGACCGAGTTGTATTGTCCTTAGCTTAGTAGTAACATTGTACTAGCTTAGTAGTAACATTGTACTAGCTTAGTACTAGCTTAGTAGTAACATTGTACTAGCTTAGTAGTAACATTGTACTAGCTTAGTAGTAACATTGTACTATCTGAGAAGTACCATTGTAGTGTCTGTATAGTAACACTTTACTAACTAAATACTAACTAAGAACTATCTGAGTAGTCACATTTTATTGTCTCAATAGTAACACTTTACTAAGTAGTAACATTGTACCACCTGAATAGCAACAAAGGACTGTCTGAGTAGTCATATTGTATTGTCTCAGTAGTATGTTGTACTGAGTACCAATTGACTTGTGGAGTTTTGAGAATGTTGTAGTTTTGGAACTTTCTTCTACACTATAACAATAGTTAATGATGAACTTTGTGTTTTAGATTTTGAAAATGTAAGAATTTAGTTATCTGTTTAACTTATATTGAAGTGTGCAATATGAAGTCCACTAATTTGGTGACAGACAGATATGGACAAAGATTATAGCTTACAAACTAACTTAATGAACAGAACAACCTACTAACAAACAAAATATGCTGATTTAAGTGATTTAACTCTCTATATTTTACATAAAAAACATACCCATCTTCTGCACTGGGTGACGAAGCATCTTCTTCCTCATCACTAGAGGACTCTGCACTGTCTTCCTCATCTTCATCTGTAATCGCTGACCTGGACAAAACAGAAGTCAACAGATCCTGAACATTGATTTCTTGATGTATTCACAAGATTATTTTTACGATTTATCAAAATGTTATTGTTTCATTTAAAATGCAAAATATTGTTGAAATGTTCTAATGCAAACAACAATAACTTCTATACTTTTTATATTTGATCTATGGTATAACCAAGAAGTGCCTACTTTCTGGCTGACCCCTCCTCCTGTTTGTCGGCAGTTGTCGTCTTCTTGAGCCTCATAAGGTTCACTTTAGTTTCTATTGTCATCTGAAAGCCTCCTTCATAGTTGATGTCGACATCCACCCAGAACCCTTGCTCATCGAAGTAGGGTCGTGCTCCACGACGCAAACTCGGCACTTCATTTCCCAGGTCAATATTGGTAATTTTTAGCTCTTCTATGAAGTATGGAATCTGAAATAATAGGTAAATGGTCAAAATGGAAGAGGATCACAGTGATTTGTTTAAGAGTACATCTGTTATTGTAATGATCTGATGAATCATTGGTTCAGTACCACACGCCTTACAGTATTCTGTTATGACCAACAGAATTACCAAACTCTATGGATCCATGAATGCCTCTGATTTACTGTGGAATCACCCAATTGATATACTGTGACACAGGTATTCAATACTACATCTTACTAAGTCAAACAAATAAACTTGAGATCAACAAAATAGATTTTGGTCAATGTCAACATTTTTAACTTGTTTTTTCCAACTTGATATTTGATTTGATAAACATCTCAATTGGAAAGTAGCTGTACATGAATTTAAAAAAATCTGCAAGTAACATTAAATTGTGAATTAATTAGAAGAGAAAACATGCCATATGGTGAAAATACCACATTTTAAGTGTTATTAGTACAACCTAATTGTATTATATAGTGCTGGAGCGTGAGGTGATGCATCTAGTCACAACTCATAGTAAGCGCAAGGTCCAAAAAATGGGAAACAATCTCAATGTGTCAGATATAATTTATTGTGAGCTCTCGTAGACTGGCCTCCATTTCTAAAATATTGAATTATTAAGAAAAAAAGTTTAACCCAAAATTTTTGGATCACTTGGATAAAACATCTCAAAGTTAAGGAAAATCTCAAGCAATGTATTGTCTATGGGAAATCTTTGACTTGAGAAAATCTCAAGAGTTGAGATGTTTTATACAAGTGGGCCCTGATCATAAGTTCTAAACTAGGGGGAGATAAGCTAGTAGTAAAATGCAGCTGAGAAATTCTTCATAAAAATTTAGGGGATGGTAGCCAGTCTAGAGCTCTCGGTAAAGGCGAAACTTATAAAATTTAATAGTTTAATATAACAAGAATGATGAGTCTATATAGTTGTTAAATCTATAGTTGTCAAATCTATGGAAGGATCCACTTAATCAATATAGTTAACAAATGAAGTCCCTATACAATAAGAAATGTTACTTTTCTCTGACCTCTACATATGTAAGATACATATCATGTGTCCCATACTGAACACTCATACAGGATACTTGTATTCCACAAAGGAGCTCTTAATGACCTTTACCATTATCTATAAATTTGCTTTATTTAGTGTTGTGTTTCACCTAATTTTGAGTAAGAGTTGGGAGACGAAAAGAGATAATCATTATGTAAGTAGGTGGGATATGAACATTTTATCTTTGGGTATAGAATATGGTGTCAGAGTCTTGGAAAAATCTTGGATCTGACTAAATTCTACACTCTTGAGTCGAGTATCCATATCTGACATACCTACATGTGATATACTCCAATAATCCTGTGTTGTTATTGTAACCATCCAGCAAGTCTGACTTTGTGGTCTCCCAGTGATGTTAACAACTGGTTTTCACGCTTATAATGTATAATCTACCAGTGAACCAGATGACTTGTCACTATGTAAAAAGGTATTGAGGATAACCCTCAGTTCTCTGTCATTACCCTTTGAACAGTACTGTCAGATCTGTAATAACCATGCTGTAAATAATTTTAACAAGTGTTATGTTCTTAAAACATGGGATAGGCTATTTTACTTATTTTCTACAAGATAATAATACATCAATTTTTAACATCAAAGACAACATGTTTAATGATGAGACAATGAGGAACTCCTTTTGAGGTTTAACAAGACTTCTCGTACATACCAAGCTTTTACTGCAGATGGATGGATGCACTGACAAATCACTTACTATATACCTTCTTATCTGGAGTGTATAACTACTGATACCAGATACTTTATATTATCTTTTCATCAAATTCATGTAATTAACACAGCCATTTTTGTTGGAGAATAAAAAAGTTCTGCTAGTTAAGAAACTTTTTCCTTCTAAATGAAAATAAACTCACATGTATTTTGCTTAACTTCCTCTGCAGCTTATCCAGGACTTTGTCAATGAAATATTGCTCATGTAGGAAGTCCCAAAAAACTCTATTGATAAGAGCATTCAGCCAGAGTATGCTGAAATCACAGTCTATGGGGCTAACATATTCAGGAGTTCCTTTCTTCACATGAGTTGGACTAGACTGGGAGTCTTTCACCTCTTTTGGCATTACTCTGCCCATGAAGCGTATAAAGTCTTCCATGCTGGATTGACTAGACACAGGAACATCCTCTTGTTCCTTGGTAGGGGACGATGACCCTGATGAGGTCGAGTCTGTTGATCCTTGTCTCTTGTGCTGTAACACACCTTCTGTGTTGTTATCTCTACTTTGTAGCTGGGATGGTGACTTTGTCTTACTAATGCACTTTCGGATGAGACCCAGGTGGCTAGGGAGGGGCTTGCCTGCTGCAGCAGCAGTAAAACGTTTGTACCAGTCTTCTTTCTCTCGGCAAGTCCTAGCAAACAGGAACAGGACACCATCGCCACAGTTTTGGTCTGTGATGATTTCAAACCCTGACTCAGAGTCTGGAGTCTCAGCAAGCTTTTGTTCATTCACCATAGCATGGTGTTTTGGGTCAACACTTGCCAAGGCTACACATATGGGATATTTTTTACTCCAAATGCGTTTTTTCACCAGTCCTGGAGGCACCAGGAACACCTTGCTGCCCTCTAAGTTGTAATGTCTCTGATGAATGAATTGGGGTGTCTGGATTGGAGGTTCATCCCACATTGAACGCTTTGCAATGTTTGTTTTTGGTCGCCGCAGACGCAAAGCTGCATTTTCAAGGTCCACATAGATTGAATGAGTTTGGTTGATGTGGTACTTTTCTGGGTTGTAAATTGGAATTTCATTCATCCATCCCTAAAATAACAAGGTTCATGTTATTAACATGATGTATTGTGTATTCTATGCCACAAATGTTTTAATCCTTTTATCATTAAAAAGTCTTGTGCAGTATAATTTGACTATTTCAAACTCAGAGATGAACCACTGCTTCATAATTTTGTGATGTACTGAGTTAATAGGGCAGGAGCTGTTTAATTTTCTAACCTAAGATTGCCAACAATGAGTTCTAGTTTACTGAATGATCAATCTCAATGTTAATTTTTGGAGGTATATAAACTATATATTTACTGTCAATAAGAGCATTTTCCCCTAACAATTGGGATGTACTTTCCCCCTCCCTCATCTCTTTTTTTTTTTTTTTAAAGCAGACAAATGTATAAATATTGCAAATTTGTGTTATTTTTAACTGACTTGATATTTCCATATTTTCAGAAAATGATAATTAAATGATTTCTTGGTTCTAACAGATATCCCTCTATCAAACTTGACAAAGTTAATTAGGCCAAACAAAATATATAGTCTGTTTAGGGTTGCATTGGCAAAAAAACTAGGGTAGGTAGGTCGGATTTTTTTTTTTTGTATATTTTTGGTCATGTGATTATGACCCTACTATTGTATGTAAAACAAAGAATTACATAAACAAGGTTCATTTGGAGGCAAATTGTGCACCATATGATAACATGTAGCGCCAACACGGAGCTGGAAGCCATTTTGAAAGGCAAGGAACCTTCTAAAATTCAAAAATCAGCGGGGGGGTTTTTTCATCAAAAAGTTTTGGGTCGGGGGTAAAAAGCTAGGGTCGGTCGGGAACCCTAAACAGACACCTTTTTTTTTTTGGCCTTAGGGGCTATATATATTTCTCACATTATCCTAGATTTCATCATTCCCAGCTCATGGTACTAATCTGGGAAAATTTCACCATGTGAAATCACACATGGAATGACATTCTAACATCTTTGTTTACTTTTATGGGAAAACAAAATATCAGACTCATGATGATTGCTATCAATGATATAATTTATGATGGTGAATACATATACTGGTACGTGTGTCAACCAAACCATAACTCAAACTCAAATCAATAAAACCAGGGCAAAAACAAACAAAGGATTTACATGGAGACCCTTGAAAATGTAAAAGAAGAAAAAGTACAAGAAGAATAAGATCAGGTGTTCCAGAAGAGTAAGAGTCTTCTGTTTCATCCGACATCCACAATGTAAATCTAGGTCAAATCTATCTGGGGTGTAATGGAACCCAGAACAAATTCAATTGTATTGTATATGCATATGGTTACTAGGTGGAGATCTTGACTGTTTCCATGCTCTGGCCTATATCTCTATTGAACCCCAACACTGGATTGGGAATGGGCCACTGGGCAAATTTTAGCAGAATTAATGTGTTATGATGATGAGCAAAGGGATATATATAACACAGTATCATAGCTGGGGATCTTGACCATTTCCAAGTGATCACCCAATTTCTACTATTCGGGCCCAGACACCCTTCTGCCACCAGGATTGTTCGTTTGTCTGAGTTGTTTTACATCCACTTTTCTACCGAGTTGTTCGATCAGTTATCCAGGGGATGAAGAAAAGATAGAAAAATAAGCAGAAGAGGTAAAGTATGCAGTGAAGGGAAAGAAAAGGATGATAGAGGAGATCATCGAGTTGGTATCAATGTCAGCATACTCAAGCAGCAAATGCATATCTATAGACAATACAAAATCAATTAATGTCAAGCAAAGTGCAAGTATTTTGTGGCATCCAGACATATGTTGTTACTACTTCCTGACAATATTAATGTAAACAGTAATTCAGGAAATAAAAGCTGAATAAGAAATATGTAAATCAAGGAAGAAACACACAGTTTCAATTTCCTGAGTCAGTACATATATGTCTCTTAAATAAATTAAAACTCCAGTGAAAATTTGAAGCTAAACAAGCCATTTGACCTTTGATTATGATTACCAACTGTGATATTGATTTTGAAAAGGAGTGTGAGTAACATACAAGTACACATATGTCTATGAAGTTTTAATGGAATATCTTCAGATATATTCTGAGCAAGCAAAATGTTATTCATATTGACTCAGCTTTGAATTCAATTTATATGTTTTTGTCTTCAAATCTAAATTTAAAATAACTTCACATGAAGTCTTTGATATACATTTCTATCTGGGAGAGACTGTCCTAAAAACACCAAATGTACACTATCTAGTGATTGTACATATAACTTGTCTTTAAAATGTCTAGTGATGGGAGTGTTTGGAAAGGTTTCTTCTGGTCCTAAAGCTATCTGGGGTCATTCCTATATGCTTTATATGGAGCTCGTGCTGATTTTTTTCTAAAGGCATTGAAATAAAAAATATCACATATTAAGGTTTACAAAAGTAAAAATAAAACATAAAAATATTTTCAAAAGATAAATAAAGAAGACTTTGAACCTTGTAAACGCCATCCTCTGTGACAACATCTTTCATTTCAGGGACAACCATTGGGGGGAGTTTGTTGACCGGTAATCTTTCAATAGGAGGTTTCTGGGTAGGAGGTTTGTTTAACCACAAGTACACTGCCCATCCAGCACAGGCTAGAAACATGCCCATTAACATCCCTGATATATATGATGGGAGAGGCAAGATCCAGTAGAAGAAAATGAAAATGCTCCCTGCTGTTAATTTCCTCACTGGAACAGCAGTCAAATCTGACATCTTAACATGTCCTGTGGGTAATTTGAGTTTCTGATCATTACCAGAAATGGGATCTGATTGTACAGAATTATTTGATGTCAAATCCATATCTGATGCATCAAAAAATTCAGTATTTGCACTTTGTACTTCAATGTCCTGGTCTTCAGTGTCATTCTTTGTCATCAACTTTGACATTGATACTGGTGTTCCAGTTGGAGAGTTTGATGCCTTAGAACCTTTGTTTTTCAATATTTTCTTTAAACTGCTATTTTTGCGCTGTCTAAGCTCATTAGATTGCACATTTGCCCCTACTGAACTATCACTTGGTTCCGTTGGGAAAAAGTCATCAACTATTTGAATGGTACCTGTACTATCAACAGGTGTTTCCTCTGGTGTTGGAGGTAGCCTCTGAGATCTAACTAATACTTTTTTATCAGGCTCATCCTTGATATGTTCATCTAAAGCACTATTCTTTGCTGTTTCAATGATCAGATTTTCTTCACCATTATCAGACATTTGTATTTCTAACCGTCTCACATCAAGTCTAGAGAATTCAGTATTTTGATTAACCATCTCTTCTGTCTTTTGATCTGTGTTACCATCAACAGGAGAATTAATTTCAGCAGATATTTCCTCCCACTTTTTAGCCAATTTATCTTTCAGTCCTGAAGATATGTCGACAAAGTTTTGTTTTATCCGAGAAACATTACTTGATGATTTGTCATCATCCAATGACCTTGACCGTTGATTCAAACCTAGGGTCTTTGACTCATTTTGTGGAGTTGAGCTTGCAGTTTTCACAGGTGTTGACTCCTTTGATTTGTCGCCTTTTGATGCATCTGCCTTGCTCTTGTCCAACTTCTTGTCAAACTCCCCTGTTAAAACTGTCAAGTCCTCTTCATCTTCTTCATCTTCCTCTAATAGCTTGAAGCTTTTCTTAATAGAGTTATTTGATGCTGATCTTCTAGTAAAGCTCTTTGGAGCTGGCGGTCTTGGTGGTGGTATAGAATCTCGCTTTAGTGACATCTTCTTGTGCAGTAAAGTGAAGGTCTCAACTGGTAGCTGATGATTCTGTGAACAAATAAATTGGAATCTATATATATTGTTATCTAATTGTATCTATTATACCAGATTACAACATTTTTATTAATAAAATTTAAACAATGCATTGGATGTAAAGCTGACATTAATTAAAAACTACCTGAAACGTGCATTTATCTTATAACCACTAAATGTTTTCCACTCCTGAAGAATTGCAATAAACATGTAAGCTAGGAGTTGGTAAACATTTCTTGTTACCCTAGGGATAATCCTGGAGGGGGCCATGGGGCCATTGACCCTTCAAAACTGAAATTGACCCCTCCATATTCCAATTTTCTTTTAAATTCACATAGAATGGCCCCTCTTAAATTTGAAATTGACTGAAAATTGCTGAAAATGGCCCACTGCTCTCAAATTCCAGGATTTTCCCTGATTAACCTTCATGTTAGTAACAACCTGGACATGATTTCATTGGTTAGCCTTTTAATTATAAGATCACATTCACAGTGTTTTGTGCTGGTATCTTCCATTAATGATCCCAAATGGGAATATGAATTATGTATTGCAAAGAGAAAGTAAGAATAATAACATGATAACCAATATAGACATTCATATTTTTTCTTAAGTTAACTTCAAAAACTGTGTTTGTCACTGTAACTATATATATATTTACCAATCAGTATCCCTATTTGAAGTACATGGCGAACATTTATTTGTATAGATGCTTCAGTACTAGGTCATTTCAGTACCAAAATGTTTCTATACTTGTTTAAGATGTTTTGGTACTTCTCAAAATTATTTCTAATCAATTTTTTTGAAAAGGTTCGGCACATAAATTAAAGTTTCAAATTGGTTCTTTGTTTGATTTGTGTGTCCTGGGTGATGATGTTCTATACTTTAGGATTCTTCAGCATTATTTTACAATAAAGTCCAGAAACAACTTATTTTTTAAAGCTGACAGTGCAAGTTAAAAACTTCCAATTGAGATTTAAAAGAAAAAAAATAACTTTGTTCTGGTTTTGAGATCTTCCCCAGTGACTGACAATCTGTTCCAGCTGTTGTATCTAATGAAGCACTGACATTTAGCTTTTTATACCAAGTGACACCCATACCTGTTACCAAGCAAGGACAAACTTAAATGTCAGCGCTTCCTTTGAAACGATAGCCGGAAGAGATTGTCACCTGGGGAAGATTTCAAAACCAGAAGAAAACAATTTTAAAAACCTTTTTATTTTTAGATCTCAATTGAAAGCTTTTTAACTTGCACTGTCAGCTTTAAGTACCGAAACGAGCAGGTAAAGGAAATATACCCTAGAATATTCATTGTAAATTTTATGTACAACATTTATGTGCAGTCAGTGTCCTTTGATAGGCATTACTAAATCATATTATTGATTAAATAAAAACGTATTTGATTATGGCTCTACATCATTTTACTCAGAGACATAACATTCAATTATGTATATAGATATGAAGATCAAGTTTTATGGAAAATGTATAAATATACCGAATCATTGTTTTCACACACACATTAATAAATTATGATCTTAAATAACCCTACCAGCATTTACAATTTGTAATTATTCTAATTTCTATATTTAATCCCTGAATAATCTGTGTTCCTTACGCAAGGAGACACATATTCTTATGAAATGTAGATAGCTAGGTAGCTGTGACAATGGATCTGTAACACCAGTGAGCAACAGATGTGTATTTGTACTTCCCCAGATCAATGACAGCTGACCGACTTGTTGTTGGGCCACCTGTCAAACCTACGCATTTACAGTTTGGGGATATTTCGGGCAGTCATAAATGGGTAATTAGACAAAACATGTATGTCAAGGATAGAACCACAAAATATTTTCAAATGTTATTAAAGAACAATGCATATTTTTATAAATATTGCAATTCCTTACCTCACACGAGAGCTTTGACTTGCAGTCTGCTATTCACTTCCTGTTTATGTTGGATTACGCAGCAAATGAATTTTGACCAATCAAAAACTAATACGTAAATTCTGATCGTCAATAATAAATCAAATATCATATCATTCTATCAATCTATTCATAAATTTGTCGCATTTTATTTTAAGTCTAAATAAAAATGGGAAGAAGTTTTTTAATTTGTTTGATTAAGGAATGTAAATAATATTTTTCACCGAGGTGTTTTCATTATTTCAGAAGTGCGGAACTGTTCTCGCCAACAACAGCATCGGAAAACCCACATTGACTTGAGAAATGTTTTTCACATGTGCAATTCTTTGATATATGATCGAATATTTCATAAACAACTTATGTCCTAGATATGCATCTGAAGCTGATTTCTGTCATTATTCTGGCAGTATCTGCTGTTACGTGTGAAAGAAATACTCAACAGGTAAATCGCCCCCCCCCCCCCCCCCCCCCCTTCTGAATGTGAGACGTTTCGGTACCCGGTAGGCCTAGTTCGATACATAAGAATATTGAATTTGGATTATTTTTTCTATGTATACGAAAAATAAAATGCCAGCAGTCTCAAAATGTAACATAAGCAAGACAGATAACGAAATACATTTTAGAGATGTCGGTAAAAACAGGGACGTATAATGGATCTATATACTGTCCCTGGTAAAAAGTGCTGAAAACCTTCTGAAATTACCTGATGGTAGACAAGCACCAAAACTCAACTATCCAAACACATATCTTCTGAAACTGGTCTTTGGGAAGCTCAGTGGCAGCCCAAAATATCCTTCGTGCCATGCCTAGCCTGTATGTCAGTATGGGCTCACCACTAAACCAGCAATCCAGGTTTACCATGTCGTGATCTAGAGAATTTCTACCATCTCCAAGATAGATCCTTAACTTGGATCCTTTGAAACTCACCTGGCAAAGTAAGGCTTAAATCCTATGGTGCAGCATCTGTCTGTTTGGTGTCAACTTTTTAGCCAACTATCATATTGTGGATTGTTCAAATTGCTTAGCTTTTGTCCATGAAATGGTTGAGGTCCCAAATCCATCACCTTTATGTAATAGTTGGGCATGAAGAGACAAACACAATCATAATATCAAAATTGACCCTGGAGTCTGGGTTCACCCCTAAGGGACTTAGTCATAACTTGCTGAGATCCAAACCCTGTACAACCATAAATACAATTGCAGAGTATGAAGACATACTTGTTGAATTAGTGCAGGGGTCTTAACTTTAAAAACAGCTGACATTCCCATTCTGTAGCAATACTTGTATCCACATTTGCTAAGCGTGAAGATTTTGATACATTTTGGATACTTGGACAAGTTCATTAATCATAATTATGCATCTGTATTTTCAGAGTTATGGCCCTTGGTTAGGATTATCAATTGAATGGATTATGGGCAAAATGGGTCAATGCCAACTTCTTGTTCCATGGTTTGAAATTGGCGCATAGAGAAGCATTAATTTAAATGTATCCGAGCATATTTGACATGTGGAAATATTCCTTAAGCTTAAGTGAGTAAATTACATTAGAGTAATAGTGTACAATTATAGTTATGTCTTGCTACATTTCAATATTATCATACATTTCTATACAAGAATACATCATCAGGATTTCAGTTTGGCATGGGATGGGACAGGCGTATATTGTTCTGAAACTGCAGTACTCTTGCTTTTGTTTAGTGACCAAATAATCTATCCAAACTAGATTTTGGACCAGTAAAGTTATATACGTGTAATTATTTCTTTTAAATGTTTCAGCTGCATTCACTGATTGCACCTGACTCAGTCTTGTTTGTGTCTACATTGATTGGTAACTTCCATGCAGTCAGTAAAACCACTGGCAAAGTGTTATGGACTTTACATGAAGGTTTGTAGTTCGTCAACTCTAGTTACACAGTACATGTACATATGAATGAATGACTTTATTAAACACTTGCTGCACTTGAGTGCTTTTAATGGTGAAAATTTGTTTGTAACAAAAGTCATAATCAACTTTTATAATATGAAGAAAATTACGTACAGGTGTATGATATAGTACTGTAATCTGAATGCTTCACTGGCCTGTTTACAGATCCTGTTATCAAGGTTCCAGTCAGTGTTTCAGCCGGGTAAGTAAAAAGTTTCATTTATCCCTTGAATTTTACATTTGATTCAATGCTATGTTTTTGGTGAGTGATAAGGTATGAGTGTTTATACAATCTTTTACTACTAGTACATTGAATGTACCACTATTGATATGTGACTGTTAATCCTGAACAATTGTTCTAAAATATATGTTTTACTTTATTGGACATATTTTTTTTTTCTTTCTCAAGTTGTAATACTGAAGTCATGGAACCAACAAGATTTCCATGCAGAAAACTATGTTTTATAGCAAGGATCAAATTCAGTGTCATGATTGCAGATGCAGATGTGCTAAGAAAATATTTATTTAGTTGAAATAATTTAACCTCAATGAAGAGAAAAAAAAATTGTATATCCCTTTAGATAGATTTCTGTAACACTTCTTCAGTCCTACAACATTGATTTGTTAATCTTTTGCAGGAAATTAACTTTCCTTCCTGACCCAAAGGATGGAAGTCTATATGCTCTAAGTGATGGCATGGAGAGAATCAAGAAGTTGCCCTTCACCATCCCACAGCTTGTGACAGCTTCTCCATGTAAAAGTAATGAAGGAATCTTGTATACAGGTAATTTAAAAAAAAATTATTGTTGCAAACTTTTTCACATGTCATAAAAGTAACTGTTTATGACCTTAACTGATGAAACCAATCTTTAAATACCCTTAAAAATTATAATCATACAAAGAATGGTCTCTTACTGTCCATGTTTTGGTTTCCACAATATAAGTTGCTTAAATTTTACTTGATTTTTATGAAACTAATATGTGTGATACTGACATTGATGCTAAATCATCATGAAAGTGTGCAGAGAGTAATTAATAAAATCTAAGAACTGAACACATGAAAAATGGAAAAGTATTATTATCATACCAATTGTGAAACCAAAAATGGAAGCCTGCAAGGCTACACAGGGTTGCAGTGGACACAAGCATTATGTGTGGGACTGACCTGATCTTGTTTGGAACTCACTCATTTCTTAAAATCAGTGAGTCACTCCTGGTCTCACTGGTCCAGCTACCTTCAAAAGGGTTCTGGAATTGAAAAATGTCTTAACACTAAGTACTTCTTGTGTTCTGTAAGGCCCAAGGTCCTGATATTTAGCCAAAAGGTACCTTTGATGGAGTGCTATAAAATGTCCTGATATAAATTAATTTAACCTACATTCAATCCTCAGGGCCACATAGTTCAAATGCATTAGGAACTAAAACATGTTCTAAAAACAAACATCAATTCTAGAGATATGATAGTTGAATATTCTTACTTATGTAGACCAGAAGTTGAATCTTTTTCTTAGTCTTGGGTCATCACTTTGAAATGGCTGTGATCCTCAGCATATACCACTTACCTGGTAAATGGTTGACAAGTTTGAAGAAAAAACACATGCATGCTACTATGATTAGCTCCAAGATTTGGCCCGACCCCCTGGGACTGATTCCCAGGTCATTACATTGAAATGATTGAGATCCCAAACCTTTAGTCATATAGATATACTCACAGATCTCAACCAGGTTTGCTATGAAGCATCCTTGGGGTGCACAAAATTGAGAAATATTTGCAATACTACTTCTAATGAGAATATTTTGTCAAGATTGCTAAATATCAGGTGAGTGATACTGGCCCTCTGGGCCATCTCTTATTTTGTCAGAACAAAAATTGCTTGAAAAGCTCAAAATGCTTCCTTGTCATGTATTGTAAGCTTTGTTTTACAGGACACAAAAAGGACACCTGGATTGCAGTTGATGCAATAACAGGGCAAAAGATTCAAACCTTGTCAATGGATGGAACTCGGAAAGTCTGTCCTTCTAAAGCTGAAAATATCATTTACATTGGCAGAACTGGTAGGTTGATAATCCAATCAAGTATTTACAGATGATCAGTCTTTGCTTAGGGTTTATTTCTCCTTCCCTGAGATACACTTTACCATTCTCCTTCACCGTTCCCAAACTCATTTACTCGCCTGACAGTTCATTCCCACCTACATTTTGAAGAATTTCCTAGATCTAATTCCCATTTTAAGGAATATGTTTAGATGTGTATTATCAGTATAAAAATGTAAATAAACAACGTGCTAGGGGATAGAACTTCTTTTTAAAGCTTTTAATTTTTGTCTTTACAGAGTATACCATTACAATGTTTGATGCAAAGACTGGAACTAAAAGGTATGGGACAAATATTGTATCAATTCTTATTACATTGTACTTGCAAATGTAAGACTCCAGTTTTTCTCAAGGTTGTTCAACTTTGATTTAACAAGAACTAGAATTCATTAACAGGGTTATTGCCCTTTGTGAACCAAGACCTTGATAGGGTTTCTGTAAGTGTTTTGTGTGGCATTACTTTGTATGGAAATAGGAATTTACAGATTTAACATGATTTAAAACATTGAAAGTCACAGTCACCATACTGGTCTCTATCTGTACACAATGATCCTGGGCCAAGGTCACCATGCTAGCCTCTATCTGTACACAATGATCCTGGGCCAAGGTCACCATGCTGGTCTCTATCTGTACACAATGATCCTGGACCAAGGTCACCATGATAGTCTCTATCTGTACACACAATGATCCTGGGCCAAGGTCACCATGCTAGTCTCTATCTGCACACACAATGATCCTAGGCCAAGGTCACCATTCTAGTCTCTATCTGTACACAATGATCTTGGGCCTAGGTCACCATGCTAGTCTCTAGCTGTACGCAATGATCCTGGGTCCAGGGCACCATGCTAGTCTCTAGCTGTACGCAATGATCCTGGGTCAAGGTCAGCATGCTAGTCTCTATCGGTACACAATGATCCTGTGCCAAGGTCACCATGATAGTCTATATCTGTACACACAATGACCCTGCGCCAAGGTCCCCATGATAGTCTCTAGCTGTACGCAATGATCCTGGGCAAAGGTCACCATGATAGTCTCTAGCTGTACGCAATGATCCTGGGTCAATGTCACCATGCTAGTCTCTATCGGTACACAATGATCCTGCGACAAGGTCACCATGCTGGTCTCTATCTTTACACAATGATCCTGTGCCAAGGTCACCATGGTGGTCTCTATCTGTACACAATCATCCTGGGCCAAGGTAACCATGCTAGTCTCTAGCTGTACACACAATGACCCTGCGCCAAGGTCCCCATGATAGTCTCTAGCTGTACGCAATGATCCTGGGTCAAGGTCACCATGCTGGTCTCTATCTTTACACAATGATCCTGGGTAAAGGTCACCATGCTAGTATCTATCTGTACACAATCATCCTGGGCCAAGGTCCCCATGATAGTCTCTATCTGCACACAATGATCCTGGACCAAGGTGACCATGATAGTCTCTATCTATACACAATGATCCTGCGACAAGGTCACCATGATAGTCTATATCTGTACACACAATGATTCTGGGCCCAGGTCAGCATGCTAGTCTCTATCTAACCACAATGATCCTGGGCAAAGGTCACCATGATAGTCTATATCTGTACACACAATGATCCTGGTCCATGGACACCATGCTAGTCTCTAGCTGTACGCAATGATCCTGGGTCCAGGGCACCATGCTAGTATCTATCTGTACACAATCATCCTGGGCCAAGGTCACGATGATAGTCTCTATCTGTGCACACAATGATCCTGGACCAAGGTCACCATGCTAGTCTCTATCTGTACACTGCTGCTGATCTATCTGTATCTATTGATTTTCAGACTTAAATGTTACTTGACTTGTTAGTAAAATGCTGAAGTTTTATTGCAGTATCTTAAGTTTAGATGTGTTTTACAATTACAGATGGAATGCCACATTCATGGACTACTCATCACATGTTGCCAAAGATTTACTGGACTATGGTAAAACTGAGTTAATTATATAACTGTTTAAACATTCACTAGACGGGGTAGTATTTACAAATCTCCAAACTATGGGAAAATTTACTATAGTATGATAACATTTGAAATATTCACTAGGCAAGAGTAAGATATACTTATCTCTGGACTATGGTAAAATTTTCTAGATTTTGGTATGATTCACTTTGCTGTTTACATTTGATTATAAGTTTTTAGCAACTTAGAGTCCTTTACATATTAACCAATTCTAATATTGATGATATGTACATCTTTGTGTGTAAATATTGTGGTACAAATAGCCTGGCATTACTCCTGTGAAACCTGGTGTGTAAATACTCTGTGAAGTGTACAGCGAATAAGTGTGATTTAATTGGTCCACACTGTATATATATGTGGCGGAGCTAACCAGAGAAGTTTTAGTAGAGTAGTTAATCAGTTTAAACTGGCTTTGCTTACAAAGGCTAGCAGCAATGTTTTGTTACAAATACATGCTTCAATCCAGAAAATAGTAGTGGTTTGAATTATATATATGGTGATTGTTCATTCACTGACAATTTCTATTTACATTGCACTCAGAAAGCCTTTGAAGCTCAGCCCATCATCAAGTATTTGGTTCATCACTCAAAATCCAGGTAGCAACATTCATTTAAAATGAGACAGCACTCAACGTACTTGGTCCACATTTGCAGTGTTCTTTTGCTTGAGTGTATACACTTGAGATTTAACAGATGTAACTTGCTGGCACTGATATGAATGCTGCTTTCCTTTTTCTTTCAGAGTTAAAGCACTTCACAGCCAGTTCAGATGGCATGACTGTCACACTAGACAGCAAATCAGGTTAGTTAGTTGAGACAGTAGATTTGGATCCAATATAGTTAATTTGTTAATTTTTGAGCGCTGTCACTTTCTCACCATTATCCTGGTTCCAAAATATTTTGGCTTCCATTAAAATGGCCTGATAGTTCATCTGGCCATTTCAATGGAAGCCAATATATTTTGGAAGGTACAGGATATGTTGTAAGAGAAGCTTATGTCAAGTTGTGAAGGCTGCAGTTATACATTGTATGAAATCTATATACCCTGAATAACTAAAATAATTCAAATTCAATTAGGATGCTTATAGTATATAAAGAAGACACCCCCAGTGGTTATGTAGAAACTAGTATTGATGACCTCTTGACGAGCTCTATAATTTCCTGTTAATGTTTTATATGGACAGGTGAGGTGCAGTGGTACATGGATTACAATTCACCTGTGGTTGCCATGTACACCATGAACCAAGATGGCGGCCTACAAAAGGTGCCCTTCATGAGCTTTGCTCCAGAAACACTGGAACACCTTACAGGACAACTGTCATCCAATCACTGGAGACACAAATTTCTGGAGCATGGTCGAAAGAAAATCTTCTAGTAAGATATTTAATGTAGTTTTGTATGATATTTAACTGTTCATTCATGTCTGACCATAACTTTTGACTATGTGTGTCATTTACCGCTTTCTGAAAATATTTCTTAAAGGGGGTTGGTCGGGGGGAAAAATGTCATATTTGCTAAAATGGCATACACATGTTTAAAATACCTTCTTATGAAATATACCGATTCAAATTTTTTCAGTGGTCAAAACTGGACATTGCAAGCAGAACTCAACCATCATATTGCCGTGGTATAACTTTTGGAAGGCCAGAGAACGCATTTAGACCCATTTATTTCGTATTTTTCCCCCCGACCAGCCCCTTTAATACCCTATACCTCATTTAATATCTCATCACTATTTTAATGTTAGGCGAATGCAAAAAAAAAATGAATTATTGTACTTCAATTTCGCCTTTCAATTAACCAGTTTAGATTAATTTTATATTTAGGCTTCTAAAATTTTTAGTTTTATTTGTTAGTAGTTAATTTTCCAAAATTTTCTTCAAAATTGAACCATAAATACATATAAATATTCTATATTCTTTCATTTTAAAACATTATATGCATTACTCCAGGTTTTCTGTAAACATAAAAAAAAAAATAAAAAAAAAATGGGTATTGGGTTCTGTAGCTCTGTAGTTTTTTGAGAGTATCAATCAAAATGAAACAAATTGAGGGGTTCCACAAATGAGAGGATGGGTTTTATTGATGATTTCTGCTTGGACAAAATGTTGCAAAGAGAGAAGAAGAAATATATTCTGAGAGTTGCCAAACAGCTCACGCATTACACCTCCTCTGGTAATAACAGAACAGTTCCCTCAAAAAAGAGTGGATCAGTAATTATATTTCTAATGCTAAAAGAAACGTTGTAAAAGAAACTTTTTTTCAATTAAGTAACATTTTTGTCAAAATGAAACTTTCATAATGAACTTCAGGGGTGGCTTATACTGTTGCTGATGTGATCTGATATGCTCCATTTCAGCCCCACACTCTATGTAGGTGAATACGAACATGGCTTCTTCGCCTTGACCTCACTTGTGGATGAAAAGACAGTAACCATTGCTGTAAGTGTATAGAAAGGAACATTTGTTCTAACAGTTGAATGAAGAGTATTTGAACTAAAAATGTCTCCAATGATATAAAGTACATGTACTTTAAAAAAAAAGATGCTGATATTAGAATTTAGAGTGATCGCATGTTTTGTTGGCATAATTGTTTATAACCCAGGTTAATCCTGTAGATGTTTGTGTATATTGATGACATCAACCCTCTTTCAAGATTGAAGGAGTAAATAGTTAAAAACCTGAAATTATCACTTCTACTCAACCTGTCAGAATAATATAACCCCTATATCTGGGTGGTTTAGAGGATGGTCATGTATGTTCAAACAACTCACCTGAACACTCTTTGTCCTCGGAGATTAATGTATTAAAAAGTGAGGTTTTGTTTTGGAATTAACATACTTTTGTAATTGAAAAAGATGGTGAGCAATAATGTTTGATGACACAAATCTTTCCTTTGCTAGCCCAAGGAGAAGGGGATGCTCCTGATAGAAGGGCCTACTCTGGAGAAAAATGTTCATGAGCAGAGAATAAAGGCTTCAACTGTCCGTCGAGGAGGGCCTGTTCTCATGTTAGGTGAGTGTTCTAGCTGTAAAAAGTAAGACAAGAGCTTGTAAGGCAAGTCTCTTGGAAGTACAGTAGTACAATATAAAACCCTGTTTATACCGCCATCCCCACGCATATTGTCATCTGCCAAATACAAAACTGTTTTATCCCCCAACCATATCGCCATTGTTCACGTTATTTAGTCTGGTAGTTGGTCAATTATATGATCATTTATGCTTCAGTCATGCATGTATCATCCACTGGTACACTACAGGTTAGCGTGTAAGTTACCCCAAATATACACAATAAAAACTAATCACTTAAATGTTTTAATAGGTTTTGTGGTTGTTGTTCCTAATTTCACTGCTATGAGCATGAGCACATTAGCTGTAATGACATTACTTCTCACATGAAATGCAATCTATAAGATTACTCATTAATAACGTCTCACATGTGTATCATGTTAGTAAAATAATGCAGGATTTTTGAAATAATGAATCCTTACCGGGGAAAAAACAACCGCCATGACAGATCGTGATGTTTTTTCAATTCCCATTACTAAATATAGTCTGCACGACCAAATATGGTAGGACCAGAGTTTGTCAGATCAGTGTCCTTGGCTGTAAGCCAAAACAAAACTCCAATAGTCCATAATTATACTTTACATGGACACATACTGGAACATCTTAGTCAGGCCATGTATCTGGGTGTAACACTATCATCTGACCTTAAGTGGGATTCACATATAAATACTATCTGCCCAAAAGCAAATTCTACGCTAGGCTTTTAAAGACGAAATCTTAAAATTGGCTCAACATCAGCCAAAGTACAGGCATACAAATCATTAGTTTGACCATCACTTGAGTATGCCTGTACAGTATGGGACCCTCACACCCAAACAAATATTGACAAGTTGGAAATGGTCCAGCAAAGGGCAGCGCGCTATGTGCTCAATAAGCACAGGTACAACCATCGTACTTCCAGTGTGTCAGAAATGTTGGACCACCTAAAGCTGCGTCTCTAGCAGATAGACGTAGAGATGCTCGTCTGACCATGCTTCATAACATTGTAAACCAGAAAGTCGCTATCGTAAAATCAGACAGATTAATCCC